CAAAAGGGTTAGGGTGTAGAGTTTCGACTTGTTGGCGACGCGAGGCGGCCAAGAGACTGCGGAGTCTTCGCGCACTCCGCTCCTGAGCGGGGGGTTGAGGATGTGGTGTGGAGGGCGTTCAGGTTGGTAGAGGGACCAGTGGAATCGAAGCAGTTGAGTCTTGAAAGGGTTCTGGGTGCTGAGTAACTGAGTATGTCGCTACATCATCTACGTCCTATGTTGGCCTGTTGTTTAGGGGCTTTGAAATCTAAGTAATCTCACACATCGGGTTGCGTAGCAAGCAAAAATGGTGCCCTTGTCATGGTAACGTAATTCTCAGACCCCTCTTCTCCCAGGGCCTAAGGGCTCCTGCCGAGCCTTTGCTCTCGCTCTCAAGCTTGCGGAGGCTGCAGAAGAACATGGGGGGTTTGCGATATTCGGGGTACCCCATTGGGGTCCTTACTTTTGGGGGGATCCTACTATTTTGGGGGCTCAATTGTAGGGGTCCCTTATTCTCGTAAACTCCCAAATGGGGAGGGGGGCGCTGTTTTTGTGAGTTGGGGGGCCTTGACTCCTGCCTTGTGGGAATTTTGAATTCAAGGCTGCTGAGGCCGATAGAAGGGTCAGGGTTCTAGGACCTCAGAGTAAAGGGACCAAAAGGAGGGACGCTTGTAAGAAATCCCAGGGCGGCTGTTTTGGGGATACCTCGGTCTACAGGGACGTGCCCCCGGAAGCCACCTTCTCTTCTGGGGGTTTGCTTGTGTTGGAGGGGGCCGCCTAAACCCGAAGGGCTAAGCCGAGCGTCGTTGGTGACAACCCGGGCCTGCAACACCGAAGAGTCGCCAGAACCCCAACATCTCTCTCAACCCCGGGTTTGAGGGCTTGGGGCAATCACCTTGGAAAAGTATGTCCGGCTGGTATTGGTAGAAAGCATATCGACGTAGCAATGAAAGACTTTTCCTTTGATTCTCATTCCGAGAGGGGACTATCGACTCGGGTTCGGCTCAGAAGCCGTAGGGCCCAAGACGAGCTGGAAATTGCGAGGCCCCCAACAGCAAGTGTAGCGCTCTCGAAGCCTCTTATTCCGGAGAGCCTCAGGAGACCCGAGGCCTCAAGTGCCCGAACCCCTGAAGCCCTAAAGCCCTTCAACCCTGGTGCTGTTTTTTGTGTGGGGGGACAGCTGGTTCGGTAATTAGTGCAAAGGATGTCCGGGAGCAGATTGCAACTCGTTTGGGGGTTTAGGGTTTGAATTTCTAAACCCTCCAAAGCGAGCATGGCCTGGAATTCGGACGGCAGCCCGTCCGGATGGGAGGCCCTCGTAAGGGTTCAGGGTTGAGTCTTTTGGGGGTCAAGGGTTTCGCGGTTTCAGCTGTGGTTGTGAACGTGAATAGCGTTACATTTGCAGGCCGACCTTTTCAACCCTCAAGCTCTTTTGTGGAATGGGGGCTGCGCATGGGGTTTGACAGGTCGATTTTTGTCAATGTGGCGTTTTGAGCAACGGCTTCTCTGTCCTTTGGGGGTTCATCTTTCCGTGCAGAACCTGCGGAACAACAGTCGCAGATTTGGGCAGAGGAGCCTCTCCATCAGTCCCCCAAGTGCCTGAACAGGGTTTTGGGGAAGAAGGGAGTATGAGTTTCTCTGAGTTGGGTTCGTTTTCGAAGGAATCTGCCATCGATGCCGTTGCCGAGGCTGCGTTCGAGGCTTTGGCGGGGAGGGGTAGATGCATCCCAAACCCACACACTCCTGAGAACATGTTCCTACCCAGATTGTTCTCAGCATGCTTGACAGGTACAAGGCGCTAGCATGGGGAGCCAAGTCAATCTCTGGGGATAATTGGGGGAGCACGCCCGTACGCTGTATAAAGCGTGCTCCTGCGCCGCTAGAGCACGACCTGCTCGCGCCATTTTGCCAAGCGCAGCAAGCAGCGCCTCTGTCAGAAGGGGCATGTGAGATATGGGAGGAGGCTGACGACATCAAGGGTCTTCATCCCCACAGGACATACATACGGGTCATTGCAAAGAAGCTGAAGGAAGGTATCGGTGATGGAGACGTGAGCTGGCGCGCCTCACGACGCGTAACCGGCGTAACCTTCGAGCTGTACATGATCTTCCAATCAGAATGGTGAGAGGTCAAGCCCTGGCCCCAAATCATATTCGGCTTCAGATGCCCTGCCTGCCGCCTGCTATATGTGGGGGAGGTCTAATCGTGCACAACCTCACCCGAAGCCCCAAGCCCCTTAAACTCCCCAACCTCTCAGATCCTAACCCTTAAGCCCTTAGACCCGCAGATCCGAAATCCCCCCAAGGTCCCGAATCCCTTCGCCCGAAAACCAGAGTAACAACGGCAGGCGGAGGCCAAGACCAAGGGCCTCAGTGGTGTTCTAAAAGTGGAGGCTGACAGCCGGCTGCCGGCCGTTCCGAGGCACCCAGGGGCGAGAGTGAGGGGTTTAGGGTTTAGGGTCTGCTGTTTAGGCAAGATTGGTTGAGGGGTTAGTGTAGGGTTCATGGGCTTCAAGAGAAGCCCTCAAGCCTGAACCCTCAGATCCTTTTGATCGAGGCTCTTGGTTCTGAGGTTCTCAGGGTTCGAGAGCGGGGGGGTTTCGAAACCTGAACTCCTATTTTTTGAGAGGGGGATCGCATGTGCTGGGCGGCCTTGCTGCCACAAAGTCCTACACCTCCTCAGCTTGGTTGCCCTTGACCTTGAAACCTAGACCCTAGACCTAAACCCTAAAGCCTAAACCCTAAACCCGAAACCTTAAACCCTAAACCCTAAACCCTACACCCTATACCCTTCAAGGAGGCCTCAGGGTCGCTGCAGTAACTTTTATCGCTCCGTGTCTCGCCCGGGCCATGAGTCGTTGGGGACTTCCAGGCGAGGGAAAGGTCCCAAGGTTTTTTTTTTGGGGGGGCGGTTTCGGACCTCGCTCGTTGCGGTGCAGCCACTGCCGTGGACCTCTTGTGGGTTTCTTGCAAAGGTCGCTGGAGGTTCGGAGGTTTAAGCCATGGAGGTCCCAAGCACCTCTACGGACTCCTTAGCGAGGTCTTCGACAGTGAACACGGTGTTGGCGCCTTTCTTTCGGCGGTCATCTCCAAAAGTTTCGAGGCTGCCGTTGGTGTGGGGGGGGGGGGGGTAGTCCCGAATAGAAGGCGCGCCTTAACACGCGTGCAGCGGTCCCTGGAGTTTATGGAGGGTCCTCGAGGCGATTTTTCCTGGAAAGTGAACTCCAAGGCCTGCGAGGACGAGGACGCGCCTTGGGCCTCGGTGGATTCTGGGGGTATTGCAGAAAGCCGACGTGTGTTTTTGGGCCCACGAGATTTTGTTGAGAAACCTTGAGAAACCTTGCCTACCCGAAAGCAGCCCCGTGGCGCGGCCGGGGCAGGCTGGCCAAGTACCTCCGTGCTGCGCACCTCTGCCGCCTTCAGGCTTAGGGTTCGATTCGCGATGCTGGTTTCGGTTTCAGGTTCAGGCCTGAAGTCTTAAAGCGCAGAACTGCCCTCAGACCTGTATGTGGATGTGTGGATGCACATCCTAACTGTCAAGGCCCTGTATGCACCTTTAACATACTTTAATCCTAGCGTGCTGCCGCAGTCGGAGAGCTCCGAGGGAGTATCGGTGGCTGGGGATTCGACGTTGCTGGGTCATGTACTACCAGCGCCAACACCCCCAATCCTCGCACCACAAGCTTCGCACCTTCATTCGAACGACTACGGCTCAAGCCTTTTTGCCTGAAGGCTCTACATCTTTTCGTCAGAAGCGATCTGATTTGGATTTGACTGCCATGCCGAAGTTGCTCGCACTTGCCTTGCTGGCAGTTGGCTTTCCCTGCGTCATCTCAATGGACATGGACAGTGCCCTGGCTGCCGATGCCGAGTGCGGCCCTGGCGAGGAATGCGCCCTCAACGCCTTGCAGCAAAAGGCGGTGGTTGCGCAGTTGCAGTCGGAGGACTCGGTGGAGAAGTTTGCCGCAGCACTCGAGGAGGGTGATGCGGACGCAGAGGCTGAGGCGCAGAGCTTGGCTCAGCAGGCCTCCGACGAGAAGTGGGTTCCGTATACGCAGCCTACCATCGTCCAGCCTGTCTACACCGTCCCTGCCCCTTACTACAGCAACCAGTACGGTCCGCCGGCATATGGACCACAATATGTAAACTCATACCCACCGACCGGATTCAACCCATCATACAGCGGCCACTACGGCGTCGGAGGCTGCATGACCAAGATCCAGGGCTCTTCCTGCATGGTCTTCGACTGCGCAAGGTCACGTGGGCCGACAAGGTGCAACCTCCAGGACTACTTCTGCTACTGCCAACCCGGCTACTGCTCCGATGGCATGGGCTGTGTTATGGGCGGGCAGCAGCCGATGTATCGCTAAGAATGGCTGATGTGGGTGTGCAGACACGACGAGTTCCTGCATTCGTTCACTATCTCGGACCTCCGGACTGTTGCCTTATCTGCGAGTGTGAGAGTGAAATTCTCAGTGTCAGGCCTCAGTAACACCCAATCCATATAGAGTACCCTACAGCAGTACCTTTATTCGCTCCCGGACCCCCCCCCCCCTACTAAGGCCTAAAGCCCAAAGCCCGAACCAAACTTGCATGTCATTCCCCGGCGTTCATGAGACTTGGCCGTTGTGTTTTTTGGTGCTTGGGATTTCTGGGCCTCCTTGAAGCCTTGAGCCCGGATCTCCTAAAGGCCTTGTATGCAACTTAAACATACTTTAACCCTCACATGCCGCAGCAGTCGGACAGCTCCGAGGGAGTGTTGGGGGTCTGGGGCTTGGGGGTAATATGGTTTCGAGGGGTTAGTTGTGAGGCCTTCCGTTTCTTGAGCTAGTCCACACAGAAGATTTCCACATTGCTTGCTGCCACTTTGCAAAATGTAGAAGCACGCTGCTGGGCATCGGTCACCAGGGCATCACCAATCCTCACACCAACAGCCTTCATTCGAACGACTACGGCTCAAGCCTTTTGCCAGAAGGTTCTACATTTTTTCGTCAGAAGCGATCTGATTCGGATTTGACCGCCATGGTGAGGATACTGGCGCTAACCTTACTGGCTGTCTCTCGCCTCGTCATCTCGGCAGACATGGACAGTGCCCTGGCTGCCGATGCCGAGTGCGGCCCTGGCGAGGAATGCGCCCTCAACGCCTTGCAGCAAAAGGCGGTGGTTGCGCAGTTGCAGTCGGAGGACTCGGTGGAGAAGTTTGCCGCAGCGCTCGAGGAGGGCGATGAGGACGCAGAGGCTGAGGCGCAGAGCTTAGCTCAGCAGGCCTCCGACAAGAAGTGGGCGCCCCCCCCACAGTACGGCACTCCATATCAAAATCCATATGGCCAGCCTATTGGATTCAACCCGTATGGGGCCCACTACGGCAGCAATCCATACTCGGTGCCGGGGGTAGGCGTGGGAGGCTGCCTGACCAAGATCCAGGGCTCTTCCTGCATGGTCTTCGACTGCGCAAGGTCACGTGGGCCGACGAGGTGCAACCTCCAGGACTACTTCTGCTACTGCCAACCCGGCTACTGCTCCGATGGCAAGGGCTGTGCTCCCCAGCAGCCAACGTATAGATAAGGGGCTCTGTGTGTGGGCATACGGAATTTGTGGAGTTCGTCAATATCTCGGACCTCCAAAAAAGCCTCCCGTGATTGTGAGCGTCGAAGGTGGGGGATTGGATCCCTACGATTGTTTATCACCAGGCTCCCTCCCTAAACCCTAATTGCTTCAACCCCCAAACCCCACGCCCCTAAACCTCTGAAACCTCCAAGCTCACAAACCTCAAGTTCCTCAACCTCTCAAACCCCTTAAGCAGCCAAGCCCTACACCCACAAAAGCCTTCAAAGCATCCTGCTCAACACCCAGACGCGCACCCCAAACCTAAAACCCTAAAACCCTAAAACCCTAAATCCCTAAACCCTGCACCCTGAACCCTAAACCCACAAAGCCCGAAAGAAACAACCTTCAACCTACCCAAAACCCCGCAAACCCCTACTCCCTAAACCTCCTGGGTAGGATAAGGGAGACCCTCAGACGGGAACCCTTCTCAACCCTCTTCTGCCTTTCTTAAATCAGGGACCTTATTGAGAGGGTCTATACCCTCAAGGGTCCCCCCTAATCCTATCCCTTAAAACCCTAAACCCTAAACCCTAAACCCTAAACCCTAAACCTTTTCCCCGAAAACCTTAAACCTTGAACCCCCCCCTGCCGAGGATGCGCAGCGCCCTCGGGGCGGCCCTTGGACCGCGCAGTGCACAGGCAGCTTGAGGGTTTAGGGTGAGGGTTTTCGGGGGGTTTGGGGGGTTCAGGCTCTTCTTCGGGGTTTTTGTAAGGAGCCTGTTGCAGGGGTTTGAAGGGCCCAGGGTTTCGGATTTGGGGTTGGGGAGTTGGGGCGGTTGGCGGTTGAAGGGGCTCAGGGTTTCGGATTGTGGGTTAGTTGGGGGGAGTGTAAGGGTAGCTAGATGGTCCCGTCACAAGGGCCCTTAGAAGGGGACCCCAGGAAAACCCCTCATATACCCCATGCAACCCAAGGGGCGCTTCAAAGAAGGTAAGGGATAGTAAGGGATCATATTCAGGGACCATGTGAGTTCCCTGGGAGGGAGGGCTTGTGGCTCTCAAGTTTTGGAGTTTTATGGTAATCCAGATGCAAACCGGGGTTTGTTCTTCTTACTGCCGCGGTTAAGTCCGCAAAGAGGCCTGCGAGACCGTTCTCGTATAACCCTTGGTCTTCTTATAGAAGACGCTTATTAGGAAGCACACCCCGGAAACGGTCCTTGATGTGTCCGAAGACCAAGAACCGGAATAACCACCCCCACATCCTCAACCCCCTAGGGACTGGGTAGGTAGCCTGCAATAGAATCCTACTATATACAAAGCGCTGACCTTTTTTCGGACTAGCGTATTCAGCCCCGAAGATTCTAAGCCCTCTTCTAGAACCCTTGGAAAGCTTTCCAAACAGGCGGTGGTCGTCCGCGTTCGACCCGGTGGCGGCAGGCGCTCCGGCTATTGGGGTTTTCCAGATTCTTTTTAAGGCTCTGAGTTACCTAAACCCAAACCCAAACCCTAAACCCGCCCTTAGAGATGGCGCTGCAAAGAGCGGCCAAACCTTTCGGTTTTCGGTCGGAGGTCTGTTGCAAGAAAGCGGGGTGTAAGGCGTAGGGTTTTGGGTTTAGGGGGATTGTGGTCTTTCAGGCATGGAGGCTTCGCATGCAAAGTGCATCAATGCTCAGCCGAAGGCAGGCTATTTTGTTCAAGGTAACGAGTGGAGCCAGTCGTGAACAGTGCTTGTGGATTTTAAGGTTTGGGCTTAGGGTTTCGAGTTGAGGGTCTTCAGCCGCAGCAAAGGGTTTAGGCTGTTGGATTGCAAGGGTTTCTGCGCATTCTGGTTCTTTCGTGTCGGCAGTCAAGATGATTCGGGCCCGGAGGCCGGCTAGACTTGAGCCCAAACCCCAAGCCCCAAACCCTAAACACCCTAAGAGCCAAACCCCAAACCCTGGACCCCAAACCCATAACCCCAAACCCGAAGCCCAAAAGCCGCTAAGCGGGTGGCAAAAAAAAGGCCTAAGCCCTAAGCCCCAAGCTGCCGCCTGCAGATCCAACCTCCGTGCGGCGGAGGGCGCTGCAGTCTTCAGCTTTGCCGCGCTGCCCACCGAGACTGGCGAGGTGAGTGCCCCTAAACCCCAAAACCCTAAACCCTAAACCCGAAACCCTAAACCCTAAACCCTAAACCCTAAACCCAAAACCCTAAACCCTAAACCCTAAACCCTTGGGGCGGTGTAGGGTCCAGGGTTTCCGGGTGTAAGGGGTTTCACCTTTATCTGTGCATATTGAGCATGTCGTCCGGGCTTGCGTAACCATCCTTTGGCCGGGCCGTGCTCAAGCGGTGTACGCAAGCCTTTGTCCCTCTTTGGTGAAGATGAACCTTAAACCATGGTCAACGTTCTGTAGTGGCCCTTTGTCATAGGGAGTATTTGGGGGGTCCGTATTCCGGGGGCTGAGGCAGCCAGCTTCCAGTTGCCTCTACAAGAAGACTTGACGCGCATATGCTCAAGAGTGAGGCAAAGCCAACCCCGGAACCCAAAAAACGAACAAGCGAACCCAACTTGAACCTCCCGAAAAAAAAGAGGAGCAGGCCGGTGTGCTTCGGGCGCACCTCTTGCTTGAGGCGGACTACTCTGGAGGCATCCGACGAAGCCTGTAGGGACCCTACAGGTAGAGGCAGGTGGAGGATTCTATTTGCGTCAGGGATGGCGGGGAGACACCAGCGGTCACCAGCGCTTCGAAGTGAGGTAGCTGTAGTCAGAAGTGGATATATGGCTTTAAACTGGCCCTAGGCCTGAAGCCATCCATCAAGCACACCCTAAACCTTAAACCTTAAACCCCTAATCCCTAAACCCTAAACCTCATACCCCAAGAGGTCTCCAAAAAACCCTGCCGGTTCAGGTGTCTGCCTCCTGTCGGAGCTACAGATGCAGCTCGAGGAGCAGGCGTGGCCTGAGGGTGACATTAGGGTTTGATTCGGGTTCGGGTTTGGGTTTGGGGTTTAGGGTTAGGGCTCTCCCCCCCCCCCCAAAAAAAAATCCAAAGAATGTTCGGGGGCCTGCCAGACTGCCAGGAGGGCCGCGGCCCCATTGGCGGTCTCATGTTAGAGATCGAGGCCGGCTGTGGGGTTTACCTGGGCCTTTTGGAATCCTACTGATGCCTCCCTGAAACCATACGTTTCTAATGAGTGACGAGCCTGAGCACTGGGACATTCTGCCAGAGCTCTGGTGTGACCCTGCCTGCATGGTCTTCTCGTCTTGTCCCAGGCAATGTGGCGAAACTGCGGGTGGGATTCATGTTAGCCGGGGGGCGTGTCGACACCACTTCTGGCTGTCAAGCAAAGGCGTGCCCCTTGACATCCTCTCGCCAGTCCCCGAAATTGAGGGGCACGAGCCTGAAGATGAAAGGATCCTGAGAGCAAGTCTTCCATCAACTCTTGGGGTCGGAATAGTTACTACTAGCAGTCCCTTATGGTTCCGTTTACAAGTATACCATAAGAACCCCCACAACCCTCTTCCGCGCATTACGCCCCCCTTAGTGGAAGTCCCACGCCGAGACCCTGAACCCCAAACCCGACACCTTAACAAAAACTTCGACTCCAAGGCCCATAAAACCGACAGCCCCAAACACCCCAAAAGCCCTACCCTAAACCCTAAACCCTAAACCCTAAACCCCAAACCCCAAAAACCCTAAGATCCTGAACCATCAAAATAGGTGGAGCCGCTGCCCCCAGCCCCAGCTGCGCCCGGAGCCGCAGACGCCGCACCTGCGCGCCTGGCTGTGGCTCAAAACCTCTCGGGCGCCTCTTTGTTTTTGAGAGTGCGTTTTTGGTTTTGTTTACGTGTGCACGCGCTGTTTTTTTCTCTTTCTTAATAAGGGGTTTAGGGTTGGGGATTTTGTTGGGTTTTTGGGTTTTTTGGGTTTAGCGGCTTTAGGGGTGTTCGGGTTTTCAGAGCGTTGTGAAAGGGGGTTTAGGGTTTAGGGTGTGTGCTCACACCTTCGGGCAATTGCGCAAAGTCCTGATGCAAAGAAGGGGCTTAGGGTTTAGGGAAAAAAGGGTTTAGGGGCTTAAGAGGGCGACGAAAGAAGCCTTGAAGGGCTTGTAAGAAGGCTACAGGAAGGCTTTTGGACGTTCGAAGGGGCGTTCTTGCTTGGTTGAGTTTTGAGGCTTCAAACCCTCAGAAAATGACGGAGAGCCTGTGAAGGTTTTTGAAGAGCAGCTTCAAGGATTTACATCTGAATTTCTTGACGTTTAGAGATTCAAGAAGTGCCCTCGCAGGTTTTGGAGTTGCGTTTAGGGGCTTGCAAGGTGAGTTGTTACTTGCAGGTTTGACGTAAAGTTACAAGCATTAAGAGTCGACATGGAGGGTTTGCAATTTGAAATCGTTGTGTAGGTCGATCGAGCTTGAAGAAACACGTGCGAGAACTAGGGGCTAGCTATGTTGGAGGGGAGGGTTTTCACGGCATCTTCGCCAACCTTGCCCGACGGCTTCGGTCTCCGTCGCGTGCCTTGCTTCTTCATGTGCCCTCGGTCTTTGTGACTTCTGTCGTGCGGCTTGAGGGTGGTCAGCTTTGTAACGGCAGCCTGTCTAACGGAGCCGACTTCGATTTTGCATGCTCTCGGCGATGTTCTCCGATGCAGCCATTCCACCATTCGAGCAGCTGGGCTATCCAAAAAACAGAGGCCCTGCCCTCGGGCCCCTAAACCTCAAACTCCGAAGCCTTGGACAACTCCAAGCACCTCAAGAAGCCAACGCGCAAGATCCTGGAGCCAGTGTCCAACGGGGGTTCTCTGAAACCCGAATCCCTGAAGCCTAAACCCCTGCTTGCCATCCGTGACTATGCTAGGGTCCTTCCGAAAAGCGGGCCCAAGGCCCTAAAAAAACACCCCAACCAAAGACTCCTTGCTCGGCGCTGCTAGGACTTAGGAACTGCCTTCTGCGGATCCGGCCATGGATGCCCGCGATGCCACCATCTTCGTGTCGATCCCCTCCTACCGGGATCCGGAGTGCCAGCGGCATGGCAGAGCCAGCTTCCCTATAGCTTCCCTAAGCCCAGCGCTGTGTGTGGTGATTCCTCTAAAATTCTGGTCCTTTAGGGTTGCTGTTCTAAGGTGGCTCCTCATATCTTCGGGTACCCAACAAACGGACCCCTAGCTTTGAGAAGTGACCATGTAGTGGCCACAACAACTCAAAGAAGCTAGGCGGGCGTTCCAATCCTTCAATGCAGGAGCTGGGGCTCGAGCTGGGGCTGATGGGGTTTTGGGATTTTAGGGTTCAGGGTTGGGGAGATCCACAGTGGCAGAAATCATGTTTTCTGTTGAGGAGGACCTTCTGCACGGTACATCGAACCTCCATACAGATAAGAAGCTAAGTCTTGTGCTTGGCCCTCGGCAGTGTTACCTCGAGTGTCGGTGTGTTGGCTTGAGCAGAGCTCGGCCCCGGTAACCAGGCAGCCTCATATGGGGGTTTCCGAAAATCGGGGGTGCCCTCTTTGGGGGGTCCCTTTAAGGGGATCCTATTCTATTTGGAGTATAAAAGGGGTACACTTGTTTTGGGAAGTACCCCTATTCTGGGAAGTACCCATATGTCTCAGAGGCCTGGATGCAAGAAGGGTTTAGGGCCCCCAGTCCAAGCCCCGAAGGCCCTTAGGACCGAGAGCCTCAGGTACACAATCCGGGACCTCTTTGGCAAGGCGCGTGCTCTTCGCACAACAGGGCTTGGGTTCTTTAGGGTTTTTTCTGGGTTGGGGGTTCTTTGGGCGCTTGGGGTTTCGGGGTTGGTGATATCTCTAGGGCTGTGGGAGTTCAGGGCCACTTACTCCAGAGGGCCAGAAATCGCCCGAAGTCGCCCCAGAAAGGACAAGACTCGTGCCTTGCGAGTCCCCAAAGCCCGAAGCTCTTGATTTGGGAGAGTCTGCCTTGAGCATCATGGGTTCTTGCTATCAAGATGCAGCGCTGGCATTTTCCTTAGTTGAAAAATTGTTGGCTCTCCGCAGCTTCGTTTGGCCTGCTTCCTTGTCGGGGTCTGTGAGGGTGTAGGATTGAGGGTTCAGGGTTTTCGGCGGTCTTCGGCGGTCTGCTTGATGTTGGATGAGGACGAGTGGAAAGGTAGCCTCTCTGTGATTCTATGAGGCCACCCTGGGCCCGAAACCCCAAGCCCCCAAACCATAACCTCTACTTGAAGGTTCAGAGGGTAGTTATGAACCCATGAACCTTCAAGAAAACACCATCAGAACCACCCAAAACCACCGCAAGCCGAACCCGAAAGCCCAGGCCAAGAAGCCCGAGAGGGTGTTCATTGGCGTTTGCTGGCAGGAGGGGTCGCATGACACTGCCATCTATTGCTATCTTCTATCATCATGTCATATCACTTCTTCATATTATGTGATCTTATTTTTCTGTTCTACTGTGTCATACTAGCATCACTTATTTTCAGTTTAATTTCGTTTCATTGTGCGATTTTATCTGGTATTCTATGAAATTATATACTGCGTTCTGTTTTGTATGAGGCTGTTCTCCAAACAGCACGGGCATGCGCACGGAGTCCGCGGGTCCTTGAAACATCGCAAGAATACATGCTCTTGGCTTCGTGGATGGTGTGGAGTCGCGCTGTCGCCTCGGCCCTATGTGCATTTGGTGGTGAAACGTGGTCTATGGTTCGCTGCGTGCGGCCGTGTAGGCCATAGGGGATTTGCAATTTGCGATGTTGGAATCGCGCTCTCGCCTTAGCGCCGTGCGCATCGATGTCGCCATCCTCGTAGAGGTCGTCGCTTTTGGACGTCTGGGTTAGCGACATGTGTGCTTTTGAATGTCTAGGTTCGCCAAATGCAAAACGGTCGTCGCTTGCGGAATCTTTCGGACGTCTGAGTTCGCCGAATGCGAAATTGTCGTCGCTTTTGGGCGTCTTTGAATTTCGGATGTTGGATATCGCGCTGAGCGCATCGACATCGCCATCCTCGTAACATTCGGCTGTTAGACGTCTGGGTTCGCAGAAAGCGAAACTTTCCGTTGCTTGTGGATGTCAGCGTTCACGACATGCGAATGAGTGTCAACATCCGCAGTTTGGTGGCTCGAAAGTCAACCTTGGTGCCGAGGATGTCCGGAGGTCCAGTCGAAAGTCGCTTTTTGTGGTACAAGCATAGTACGGCGAGGACGCCCGGAGCTCTGGTGGCTCTACCTTTTGCAGTACGAAGGTAGTCCGCAAAGGACGTCTGGAGCTCCAGTGGATCGAAACTTTTGCAAACGGATGATGCGGAGGCGGAGGTCGTCTGGAACACCAGTGACCCCAAGTTACTCTTTCGAGTCTCCATGAAGCGCAGTCCTTGATGTGTTCTTGGTGAGCCCTTGGGTTTCTTTGGAGTTCTCTTGAGGAGTGTTCTTCGAGTGCCCATGGAATGTTGCTGGGAGGGCTTGGAGTGCTCAATTGGCGTTGGAGGACCCTCTCTCACTGTTTGGGGCCAAAGATGGCGGAACATTTTGTTTCATTATGTGACATGGGCTTGTCTTACAATGTGCTGCCTTCCGTTTTTGATTTTTTTTGGGTGCCCTTTAGGGACACCATGACTGCTTGAAGGCCCTCAGAAGCCTACCAAGTGCCTGCAGGCGGATGCTAAGGAGGATGCGGCGTGCTTCCTCCTGGAGCCCCCGAGCCTGGCTCCCAGGGCCTAGGAGCGTTTGGGGGTTTAGGATTCAGGGATTGGAGTGGCGGGTTTGGGGTCACAGCGAGCTCCATGGTACCAGAGAAGAATCGCGGGCAACCAGGTTGCAGAGTTTGGCAGTGGCGGTCTCGGATGAAGTTGCAGAGGCTCCCTGGTTCGAACCTTTTCGGGGCTTCCACATGTTGTTGGGTCGTGGGACCCGTCCTAGGCTCCTAGGCCCACTCGAATCTTAGGCACTTAAGGCCAGCAAAGGCCCGCAGCTTCAGACCAAGAAGGCCGGCGAACCCCGAAGCCGAAGCAGGGACTTTCCGCAGCCAGAGCCCGGAACCCTCCTTGAGCCCGAGCCTTTCCTCCATATCCTGAGCTCCGAGGCCACCTGGCTGCGAATGTGCGCGTCCTCCCGCTGCACCACCGGGTCGGAGCCTTGGGCTTCCAGGCTTCCAAGGGCGGTTTCGAAGCCGGGGACTGCAGGCTGCCTTTAGGCTTCCTTAGGAGGTCCGACCCCGCAAGCCACCGAATTCCCTGGCCAGGATGCGCGGGGCCCCTGTTATGCCCGCGCACGGATCCAGCAGGAGTTGTACCAGGTAAGCACGGGGCCGCGTGAGAGTCGACACCCGAAATCTTCAACTTCAACCCCAAGTCCAAGGGCCCTCGGGCTTGAAGCCTACGAAGCCCAACCCCACTCCTGAAGCCTGCGGAGCCTGAGGAAGGAGCCCCAACCCCAGAAACCCTAAACCCTAAAGGCGCCTTCAAGATTTGCCTAAAGGATCCTAAAGGCCTTGGTCCTGCACGTGAGTTCCGGTTTTTGACACCCAGGAAATTTGGAGTCCCGCGACAAAAGCGTGCAACTTAAGTTTGTCTTTACATGTGGGGCGTCGTGGGCGCTGCTGCAGTTGCACATGACTGTCCTCAAAGGTGCAGACTCTCTCAATTTTGCTCGGAGATGCCCCTAAGCGTCTGACCTCCTATTTTGCGTCGCTCTACCCTCCACGACCCTGCAGAAAAACGTGCCGAGACTTTCTCGAGCCCCAGATACCTTGCAGAACACGGCATAAAAGAGGCTCCGAACGTTGCCAGGACGAAGAGTACTACCTCCAGCTGGACAGCCACTATCGCGACACGGCCGCGTTTTTGACGTCGAGATGTTGTGCGTTGAGCTGTGCCGCAAGAGTACTCGTGTCCACGCTGGTGACTGTACTGTATCGGATTTCCATTTCACAGTTACCACACTGGTGCTTCAGTTTCGGAGGCATGGCCGGCACTCGAACCCAGATGAGTAAGCGACTACGAAGCCGTCGGTACGGGGAGATATGGGGAAGCCGTGGACTTGCTTTGAGCTCAGGCATGATCCCGCACTGGGACGAGGAGCCCTCGCGAGAGCTTTCTGCTGTTTTGCAGTCGCCCTAAACCAAACTAGCCAAGAACCCTAAACCCTAAACCCTTACCCCCAAACTGATTGGAAGACGAATTCCTCGACTAGTCCCTGCGCAGTGGGTGCCTTTGAGGGGTGCGTGCAGTGCAGGTGGCGACAGAACCCTAAACCAACCACGAACCCCAAGCCCAAGCATCCTATACACCTTGCTGCTAGCGTGTCCCCCGTGTCACTCCCGCACAATGTGAAAGAACTCAAGCAGCCTCCCAAACAGCCCGTCTGAGACCCCACAGCCCCGCCAATACCCTTGTGACGCAAACCAAGTTTCCTGCAGGAAAAGAGCCCAAACCTCCTCATTCTACCCTAAGCCCTTGAGCTTTCCCCAAAAACTTCTACCCTAAAGCCCGTGCGCTTTCCCAAAAAACCCCTAAGACCGCAGGAGCTGCTTCGACAGCTGCGGCTCTGTGGGAGCCGCAAGCCCATCCTCAGCCACTCGGGCCACAGCCCTTTCACTTCAAGCCCTTCAATCCGAAGTTTAGATGGTTTCGGGTTTAGAGTGTAGGGTAAACCCTCATCCCTCAACCTTAAACCGAACAAAGGAGGAGAACGGACGCAGAGGAAAGCTTATGGCTTATGGGTTGGTGAGGGGGATTATGGGGGTGAGCTTGTCTTCTGAAAACTGCCATGGCCATTTTGAGGTCTAGGGGCATTTCGGGAATAGCTGCTCTGGATGAACAATAGTGTAGAGTGTCTCTACTCAATCCTGTTCCCTAAGCCCTAAGCCCTAAACCCTAAACCCTAAACCCTAAACCCTAAACCCCTAAACCCTAAACCCTAAACTTTAAACCCTAAACCCTAACCCCTAAGTGTAGGGAGTGAGGTGCTTGCACCGAAAAACGGGTTGACGAAGTTGACCTCCAAGCCTTTGAGGTCCATTCAAGGCTTTTGAGCCCACAGGTTTAGGGTTTAGGGTTTAGGGTTTAGGGTTTAGGGTTTGTTGAGGCACGTATCCCTCGAGCTACACGCTGCCGGAGGACGATGCCACCAGAGGGACTGCTGGGTTTTCTGGTTGTTCGTTAGCCCTGAACCCTCCTCAACCCTGAACCATCATCCACCTTGCAAGTTCCTAAAAACCCTAAAGCCGTTAGCCCAAAACACCCGTTGGACCCTCGATGACCCCGTAACCCTATAGCCACCTCGCAAGGTTCATCGATAGTTTGGCCATGCGATTCTTCAGGCTTGCACCGCAGACCCTAATCCCCCCAACGGCCGCGAAACCCGAAACCCCACACCCGAAATTCCCAGAAGCCCTAAATCTCAAACCTTTTCAACCCTGTAAGCCTTAAACCTGATAGAGGTCATCGGGGTCCTAACAGCATGAGGTTCAAGGTGGCAGTCGTTAAGGGAGCCTCAGGGAACCTTTAGGAACATTGGGGAGGAATCTGATCTGGTGCACACGCAAGAAGCCCATCAAGTCAGCCGTCCCACTCCTCTCCTGACCTCAAGCTCAGGCATGAAAGCTATTGACAGGAAACGTCACTTCGGAAGTGGCAGATTAGATGCATCGCGACCCCGGGGTTTTTTGGTTTGATTGGTCAAGGGTTTATGAGCGTCCCGCCCTTGCACTTACGCTGTGGTACCGAACCTCTCGACGGAGGACTACCGCCCCGGCGAGCCGGACCAAGCGCGGTTGCACGCCGCGCAGGACCTGAAAGGGTCGAAGGTTTTATGTAGGAGAGGGTTGGGAGGGAATGTGCAGGAGGTTTAGAGGCGTAGGGAGAGCTGTGAAGCTTACAAAGCATAAGCATCGCAGGCCGCAGTTGCTAAGCCCCACACTGCCCCCGAAGGATCCGGTGGTGCTTTGCGCCAAGGAGTCTCCCGGCTGATCAGGTCGTGAGCAGCAGAGCTCTTGCCATGCCAAGTTGTTGCGAGGGCAAACCCGGAAACTTCCCCCATCGTACAGTGTTGCTTAGAATGCGCCTGCGCCTGAAGATGTGGGGTTTAGAGTTTGAGCGTTAGGGGTCGAACGGGTCAGCTCCAAAAAACTGTCTTGCGCATTGGCAGCTCTGCTGTCCCGTTGGCGGGTGGCCAAAAACCCAAACCCTCTACGCTTCAAATCCCCCCAAAAATTAGCAGCAGACACCTCTAAACATTCAAACCCCCGAACACCCCAAGCCTAACCCCTAAATTCCCCAACGGTAAGCTTACTAGTTCGAAGTAGGGAATGTGAGGAACCGGGTCTTTACAATTTCAATAGTCCTTGCAAGGGCGCCATAGGGGTACACAAGATCCCAAATTCACGACCCGCACCGACCTCGAGGTTCGGCTCGGATGGCTTCCTCCGCATTACCGGGAAGACCTGCACCTCGTTGAAAGGGTTTAGGGTTTTAGGGTTTAAGGGTTTAGGGTTTGGGTTTAGGGGGTAAAGGGTTAAGGATTCAGGGTTTAAGGGACAGGGGTGTCGGAGAGGACGCGTTCTGCGTCGTTGGGTGTCGGACGTAGAGACGTACAACACTGTATGCTCACAAGCAGCCCCAGTCCTCTGACACTCAGCTTGCAGAAGTTTGGGGTTTCAATGTCGGGTTCTGCTTCTCAAAGTGTTGCCGGAGGATGTGGACCATGAACCCTTTGACCGCTAGCACGCTATCTTCTGCGCCTGTGAAATGCAGCTGGGGTCTCATGGAATGAAGTTGGGCCAGGACAAGACGAAGCCCACAATGGGAACAGAAACATGATGCAAGATGCTGAGCCGAACTTGGAACTATCAGTCTGTTTTCGCCGCGCTCGTACGCAAGGTCTGTCGCTGGCGGACCCTTAGGGACAAGCACCTGAAACGAACAGATACAGATTCCCAACCACTACGGGTTCTTGAGGCGAGTTACCAAGAAGAAGGTGCCATCCTGCTGTAGCACCAGAATGATGCAGTACTGCTACTTCCCAAGAGATGGAATGGTGGGTGGTGGCGGAATCTTACGCCAGCGAATTCATGAGGAGCCGCAGGGCAGATTGCGCACGCGCGCGCGCGAGCGTGCGTGTGCGCCCGCGCACAAAATTTAAATGAAGCCCAAGTCCTACCGAAATGGAGCGCAAGCCATCGTCGGAATGGTAGGAACAATCGTGGCAACAGGAGAGTCGGTCGTAAGAACAAGAAGCATCTCAGCGAGGCAAAGGCTCGGAGTTCGAGGCCCCGCTGCCAGGCCCCGGGGTTTCGCGTAGAGTCGTTGGAGCCATGTGACATGTGGTTTCTCAGGTTTTTCGGAAGGAGTTCGGGAAGATTCCGGATTCCGAACATAGTGGTGGTTCCCCGAATGTGGAATGAGAGTGCTTTGGGCAAAATTGGGGTAGCTGTGTTTTGAGAATCCTTTCCGAAGTGTTACATCATCAGGAAGGCTTGCAGGGTTGGGTGTGTTCTCTGTCTCCTGGCTGGTGAAGCCGTGGGAGGGTTCAGGCTCATAAGTTATTGGGTTCAGAGGGCTTTGAGCGTAAGGTTCGGCTTGCAGCAGGGCTAGAACTCGGAAGGCCTGTCAGCCCCTGCATGTTGACGGCAGGGGGGTTGACCTGAATGTACCCGAACAGGCCTTAACCTTTAAGCACATTCTATTCTAGTACATGGAAGTTTCCGAAAATGAGGGTCCCCCTTTTGGGGTTCGATTAGAGAATTCCGGCAGTCGCTACGAGGCCTGGATGCAGAAAAGAAGGGCTTCGGCGTTCACCGAGCGCCCTTGACAGAAGAGTTCCCACACCCTAAGCAAAGCTCCTTTACCTCAAAACCATCAAAGCCTCAAAACCTCAGAACCCCAAAACCTCAAAACCTAAGCAAGACAAGTCTTGCAGGCTATGCTTTCTGAACTCCGACACCCCTAAGGCCTAGAAGAACGGACTAAAGCCTTGCTTTCTCCCACGATCGTGCGATTGTGAGAGTCGAAGGTCTTGTAGCCTGCCCCGGAGGCCTTTTCTGGGCCGCCGGATTCTCCTTCTCCTCGGCAACGATGCTGCGGGAAGTGCCGTACGCAGCGCGCCCAGGGGTAGGAAGTCGTTTGGTTCCTTGTTGTGGCTTCGGGTTTTGAAGAGGTTTTTGCTCACAAGGGCACGTTGGAGAGTCGGACCAAGTCCTGTCCAGGCATGAGCCCCGGAACACTCAGTGTCAGTGTTCGGTGTTGCCTAGTCCTGCCAACCTCGGAGCGGGGTGAAGGCACCATGGAGCCGCCAGGCACCATCTGCTGAGGGCCTTTTCCATGATGACGAAGCCAGCGGCATCATTCGCCGTTTTCCCCAGCCAAGGACGTGGAACTTGAAGACCTCTTCTTCGGCGAGGCCGGGCACAGTTTCACGCGGCTACGGCTCCCTACAACAGGCAACATCTTGTTTTTGGCGGTTTCCGCCTTTTTGATGGGTTCCAGAACTGGCAAGGCTTGTACTATTTGGGGGTAGATTAGGGGACCCCTTTTGGGCAAATGCCGATATCTTAATATATATATATATAACCATATTTTTTTAGAAAACAGTATATATATATATATATATATATCGATTTATTCATTTCGTTTTTATGGCGATTGTTCTTCGGCAGCTGCACCCCGCCGCCGCTTGCGTTTTGAGGAGCCAAGCATGGCGTCACGGCTCTGGACATCGGGGTGGGTCGCTGGGCCCCGTGGAGGATTTTGGTCTTCTGTTGGGTTTGGTGTTTAGGGTTTAGGGTTTAGGGTTCAGGGCTGCCTAGTCACAGCTTGAACTTGTCTGGGAGGTCTTGCATAATTCTTCCGATCAGTTGCATGCCTTTGCTCGATCTCTCATGAATAGCTTGAGGGATCCCTGCTTCTCTTGAAAACCTTGAGATGGTTTGCTCCAATAATCCACGATTTCCTGGCCGACTCCCCAAGCCCGGATGCAAAAGGGTTCAGGGTTTGGGGCTTGGGGCTTGGGGATTACCCTAAACCCTAAACCCTAAACCCTAAACTAGTTTATGAGTCGGGCCTTGAGGCGCCTAAATGGAGGTTGTAGGTACCAGTGCCCTTTGCCTTTTGCCTTTGCCCTCGAGCCAAGCTACGGTCCCAGAAGGACATGGGAACCTGTCCCACGTCCTTACAGGTACAAGTGCTCATGAACCTCCAAAGAGGGTTGGGGTGCGCTGCGGAAAACTTCGGCAAGATGGTTTTATTTGGGGATTGAAAATTTAGGGGCTTGGGGTGAAGGGCTGAGTTCAAAAAGGATCTTGGCTGTGCCAGCTGTCATGTAGCTGAACACCAACCCTGGATCACGCTCCCCACGACTCTGGAGGCCAGGAGGTTGTGGATTCAGGATCTGGGCCCCAGGAGCCCTGGAACCTCAACTGGGCCCCAGGAACCCTGAAACCTCAAACGGTGGTAAGCTCCAAAGAACCCTGCAGACCGTAAACCGAAATCCTCAAGCCGGCTGAGTCGATGCGGGTGGCAAAAAAAACGGTCCTCATGCAGATGGGCCAAGGATTTCTTCGTCCCGACCAAGGCGTGGGCGGGGTGTGTTTGGATCTTTGGCTCTCGTGGCTTCTGCGTGGTTCTTCGATTCGTAGCCCGTTTTACGCACTTCTTGGTTGCTTTCTGCATTGAGGGAGGTGCTGACGCGGTGGAGATACAGGCACATGCCCTGCTGAGTGGTTCGTCCAGCTGTATGCGGGTGGGGAAGAAAGCCCGTAAGCCCTTGAGCCTCCAGTCTCTGGGACGAAACTCTCTCCGACGCTTCGCGAGGTGATCGGCTACCATCTCTGGACCCGAAAGCATCGCCCCGTCTTCCGAGAGCTTGGGGGCGAGGCGGTCGGATGGGTCCTCCAAGAACCAGGGAAGTCTTGCCCCTAAACCCTCAACTCTAAACCCTAAACCCTAAACCCTAAACCCTAAACCCTAAACCCTAAATCCTAAACCCTAAACCCTAAACCCTAAACCCTAGGCAGGCTTAGCAGCTCAAGGTTGGACCCATGTGCGTGTCCAGACGTTGCAAGATGGGGGTGTGGACTGGCAACTTGGGTTTAGGGCTTAGGGTGTGGGGGGCTTTTGCCCTCGACCCACGCCCTCTCCATCTTTTAGCTGACGTACCGCCCTAACCCTCGTTTGAGTGGGCTTAGCAAACTCTAAACCTTCGAACGTCTTGAGCCCTGCTCAGTTCATTGAAGCCCCAGAGACCCTGCAAAACAGGCAGGAGCCCGAAACCCTAAAACCTAATCGACCGGAAATCCTAAAGAGTTTCCTACACCCAACTGCCCGAACAATCCTGGAACCCCAAGGCCCTCAACCTCATCAACCCAAAAGCACTAATGAAGTCCTAAATCCTAAACCCTAAACCCACAAGCCCCAAAACCGCAGGACCAGCGGCGTCGAGAGCGGGAGTCCCAAGAGCGAGTGAGGCAACTGCTGGCCGGGGCCGTGAACGCGCCAGGACTTCGGAAGTTCTTACTGACCTTAAACCCTAAACCCTAAACCCTAAACCCTAAACCCTAAACCCTAAACCCTAAACCCTAAACCCTAAACCCTAAACCCTAAACCCTAAACCCTAAACCCTAAACCCTAAACCCTAAACCCTAAACCCTAAACCCTAAACCCTAAACCCTAAACCCTAAACCCTAAACCCTAAACCCTAAACCCTAAACCCTAAACCCTAAACCCTAAACCCTAAACCCTAAACCCTAAACCCTAAGCCCTAAACCCTAAACCCCAATCCCCAAACCCTAAACCGGACACGAAGACTGTGGACTGCTAGCAGAGAGCGCGTACCAAACCGAACAGAATCCTCGCCTGCTTCAGCGAGTGCGCGAGTCGAAACCCTAAAGCGATCGGCTGGTGAGTTGGGATGTCGTTTCAGTGCTGCTGGCGGGTTCGGCCCGATGATGTGCCTACAGAGACAGCGCCACCCTAAACCCCAAACCCTAAACCCTAAACCCTAAACCCTAAACCCTAAACCCTAAACCCTAAACCCTAAACCCTAAACCCTAAACCCTCAACCACAAGAACCCTGGAACCCAAGGAACCCCAAAACTGCAGAGCCCCCTAAACCCAAAACCCCCTCAAACCCTACACGTCTGGAACCCTCCGAAGTCCTTTTGGCCCTGCGGGAACCCCTCAGGCCCTTAACGCACCCAAACCCTACTATTTGCTTAAGAACCCCCCGGAAGATCATAAAAAGATTGTCTTCTAAGGGCAATATAGGGATTACTATAATATATGTTTTGGGGGGTTTCTTCAGCAAATAGTAGTCTCCTTATCATTCCCTAAACCCTAAGCCCTCAACCCTAAGCCCGAAGCCCTAAACCAAAAGGGGCATCGTAGAACCCTGCAAGGACAAAAGCTCGGCTCCGAGCGCTCACTCGCTGAGTACGAGGAAGCTGCTGCGGCTTTGGGTGTTGGAACGCTGCAGATACATAATATATATATATATGCGTGTGTGTGTATACATGTTTACGTACCAGAGATGACATGTTCGAAGCGTTATGTGATGTATTTTATGCTATACATTACATATTATTTTCTTCTTCTTCTTCTTGCTATTCTTTTTATTTATTTATTTTTATTGTGATTATATATATATATATATATACACATGCAGCTTTTGGGTTTTTGGGTAAAGAGGGTTCAGGGCTCAGGGTTTAGATGCGTTTTTTGGATTGAAGGCTTGGGGTTTGGAGTTTGGTGGGTGGTTTTGTCACATGTCATGTCGTGCTTTGGGGGCTTAGGGCAATCCCCATTGCACGCTGGGCAGCTCGAAGCCAACACAAGGCATCCGCATGTTGGCGAAAAGGGCGTAGGGCGCATGTGACTTGGGTTGCTTTGTTTCCGGAACTCCTCAACCTTCATCATGTTAGCAGGTATTGTCCGGACGTCGTACTCTCTTTTGGTTAGGGCTTCGTATGAGCCGACAGCAGTTTTGGCCGTCTGGACCGTCTGGAACCTTCGCATCTTGTGGTAGAAGCTTGCAAATATGAAGCAAGTTTTCGGACTCCCTTCCCAAAACTGGAACCCTGATCCAAGCGAAGGAGTTCGCTGGGTTGAGCTTTCAGCGGCAGACGCTCTCTGTCCCTTGGTAAAAAAGCCTCCCTAAGCTGGGTTCTTAGGTGTGTTTTAGGTGCCTGAAACACTGTCTTGTGCTGTAGGGGTTGTACCCAGGGCAATATTGCCGCGTCTGACCGTCAGGTTATCCCTGAGTTCAGAGTGCATATAGCCCTCAACATGTGCTCTTTTTCAGCCCTGTGCATATATATATATATATGTATATATGTATATATATATATATATATATGTATATATGTATATATGTATATATGTATATATGTATATATGTATATATGTATATATGTATATATGTATATATGTATATATGTATATATGTATATATGTATATATGTATATATGTATATATGTATATATGTATATATGTATATATGTATATATGTATATATATGTATATATGTATATATGTATATATGTATATATGTATATATGTATATATGTATATATGTATATATGTATATATGTATATGTATATATATATATATATATATTTGTATATATGTATATATATACACATATGTATCGGTAATTTCAGGGAACATCAACTTAAAGTATTAAGGAGCGCTCTGGAAGTGGGTGTCTGAGTTTCGTCAGCGTCTTTGGGAAGAGGTCCCTCGGGAACTTACAGCTACCTCTGGCTATGTACCCCTTGGGAATTATTTAATATTTTTGTTTATATAAAACCCAAGAGGGTATAAACAATATTGTTTTTATTAAGCTTCTAAGGGGAGTATAGATGGGAGCTACCAAAGGTGTGCTCCGACTGCGCCCCTTCAGTGCATAGCTGTAAAAGACCCAGTCCACAGGGTGTAGGTGCTTAGGTGTTGTTTGCCTTAAACCACATGGCCACGGCTCAAGTTATGTGTTGCAGGCTTGGAGGCCTGCTCGATTTTTAGAAGCGGCAGCAGTTCTTTCGCGCAGGCACCGGTCTTTGCCGCTGATGCGGTGCATGTACCGCAGCACCTTCATCAATATTTCGGGTGAGGAGGATGAGCATTCGGTCCGGCGATCGCAGAGCTCTCCGAATCTCTCTTCGCAGAGTGGAGAGGAGCCGGGCCCGGCTATCGAGGCAAACCGCAATCTCCAACTCCAGGACTTCATGGAGCGCACGGCGCAGAACTTCCAGTGGGGCGAGGAGCGCACACCGCGCAAGCAGCGCAAGCGGGCGCGGCCGCCGTGCTCGGCCAGGGCACCTGAGATGAGCTCAAGCCTTGTGCCGGGCGGCCACGGGCACCCTGAGGTGTGCAGCCGGCCTTGTGTTCGCTTCGCATATGGAAGCTGCGCTAATGGCGATTCGTGTAGCTACTGCCATCTGGGCCACCCGACGCCGAAGACGAAGCTCGACAAGACCCAGCGGCAGTACTACGACAGCCTTGCTGAAAGCCAAGTTCTGTCACTGGTTCTTCCTTTTCTGAAGCGCCGCGGAAATCTACACCGGATCTGCAACGAGATGAGCTGTGTCCTTGGGCTCCTTGAAGATCGACTGGCTGACCAGCCAGCAGCCCACATCCCCATGTGGAAGGTCCAAGAATTGGAGCGGAGTCTTCACAGGATGAGCACGGCCCGTCTGGTGGAGCTGGTGACTGGCAGTCCCAAGGTGGACCCCCTCTTCGGAAGCCAGATCACCGATGCCTTCGCTCAAGCAAGACGCGGTGTGCATGCACGTCGGATGCAGAAGCCCATGTGTTGCAAGCCAAGGCCTGCGGGCTGCTAAGACTGCTAAGAGTTAGTGGAGTATAGGAATTAAAACCTAAGCCATCAGCCACCGACCGGGTTTGCGGTCTCTTTGGGTTTTTAGGGTTTAAGGTTTTTTCCAGAGGTCACAGTGACAGGAGCTGTGGCATTGAACTTGCGCCCAAGCTACCAGACGGGTGAGGCAGCCAGCTTCATTTCAAAGTGCCCGCTGGATTGTTTCCCGTTAGGATTTTGCAAGTACAACCTTAAGGGCACTAACTTGAAGCCAACGGGGCTTTTCGAAGACGTGCCGGCCAGTCCGGCATGACTTGTCACACGTTGCTGCCAGGCTTTAAGTGATATTGGGGTCTTAGAACCCGGTGGACTTAGTTGAGGGAAGCCCCCCCCAAATGGTGCCTCACTCGTCGAGCGGCGTTCCTTTTTGTTTGAAGCAGACGTTTTTGATAGCATGGTTGATCTGCGTTCTGTGGGCTTAGGCCGTAGGCTCGAGGATGGAGGTGGGATGTGTCTTGAAACGTGTTTGCCGCATTCCGTGCTATCGTATATCAAAGTTTCACGGTGAACACTTCAGCGGTAGACCAGTAGATCTGATGGACTTTCCCGCTGCGCACGTGCACCGGCATTGAATGAACATTCCGATGCCCAGATGCAGATAAGCTGCATTTACACGGTCATCGATCGAGAGGGCCCCTCACCACATAGTTATCTTATAACATCCCTGATCCCCAAAGACCCTAAACCCTAAACCCTAATCCCTCCCTAAAACCCTAAACCCTAAACCCTAAACCCCAAACCCCAAACCCTAAAAACCCTAAACCCTAAGCCCGAATCTCTGAAACCCTAAACGCCAATTCGGCTCACGCCTGCCTGGAGTGGCCCCCCGATGGAGACCCAGCTCCCGACTTTGAATTTCGCACGCCCGGGAGTGCCCTTCTCCCATATTTCTTCAGTTTTCAGTATAACCTTTACCACTAAACCCATAAACCCTAAACCCTAAACCCTAAACCCTAACCCTAAACCCTAAACCCTACACCCTAAACCCTTAAACCCTAAACCCTAAACCCTAAACCCCTAAACCCCTAAACCCCTAAACCCCTAAACCCGAAACCCTAAACCCCAAATCCTCTTTGTGGCTAAACTTGCTGGGGGCAACCCGGGGTCGAAACCGTTAACGTCCTCCATGAGAGGCCGTAACGCAACGAGCCGCTGAGCCCTCAAGGGGCCTAGGAATTTAGGGTTTAGGGTTTAGGTTTAGGGTTTAGGGTTTAGGGTTTAGGGCAGTAAGGGCAGCAGTCCAGTCCCTTATTGACTTCGACAGGCTTTCGCTCGCATACCCCCAGAACCCTATTCTAATCAAAGGCCCCTATTTTAGCCCAGAAGCTACGATTTGGCTTAAGGACCCCCCCCCAAAAAAAAATGTCCCCCAAATTGTATTACCCTTACAAGTTACAAGGAGGATCTTTTTGAAGAACACCCCAAAAAGAGAAGAATGACAATCCCTATAAATCCCCAGTGAGGAAGAGTATTTGCATTTTCTTTGGGGGCTCTCAAAGCAAATATAGTGGTGAGGGGAATAGGCAGATGGCTTTTATAGGACCTGCAGTGTTTGTTTGGGTTTAGGATGTAGGGTTTCGGGTTTGGGGTTTGGGGTTTAGGGTTTAGGGTGTTTGGGGTGTCGCTGGAAAAGCAGCCTACGTGGCAAGCATGCGGAGGATAGCATGCGGCTTTAAGGTTTTTATTCTTCAGGGAAAGCTTCAACTCCCTTGGCTCAAGGCAGAACATTCCACACCTGATTTGCCCCAAGGCGCGCGAGGACGCGCCCCTAGTTGGTGCAAGTCTTGCATCCATTTCTAAGGGAGCCCAGGATGATATTGTGGGTTGAGCAGACAAGGGCTCTAAGGTTCCAGGGATAGGAAGTCGAGCAGGACGAGGCCAACAAGTTTTGCTGGACAATATGTCTTGCAAGGATGGCCTTTGTGTGATCGAGCTGCCTCTAATTACTTGGTTACCTGGCGCATGCCCACTTGGATAGTAAATTGGATGTCAGCGTTCAGTTTCGCAGTTGTGAGGCTCGCTCGGTTGGCACCTTTCCTCAAATCCCGAATGGGGGTTTCCGAAAATAGGGGTACCCTTTTTGGGGGTCCCTTCAAGATGATTCTATTCTATTTAGGGTATAAAAGGGGTACCCCTATTTTGGGAAATTCCCGAAGGACTCTGATTTGACAGGGGCGTAAGAGCCGAAAACCGAAGAGACTGGTGCGATGTGGCAAAAGAAGCCCGCTGTTGCCAGCGACAGAGCCGCATTCCGACGAGACTGGTGCGATGTGGCAACAGCACCTTAAACCCTAAACCCTAAGGCCCCAGCCCTAAACCAAAAAAAGCCTAAACCCGAAACCCTAAACCCCAAACCCTAAACCCTAAACCCTAAACCCTAAACCCTCAGAAGCCCATGTGCCGAGGCCCGAGCGCGCCGCGGCGGCTTCGGGCCGGAGATGTTCCGGGAGGGCGATCCAGTCCTGGCCTCGGCCCTCGGGAGGTTTCGGAGGTTAGGGTTTAGGCGATCGGTCATGCGGACAGGGTTTAGGGTTTAGGGTTTAGGGTTTAGGGTTTAGGGTTTAGGGTTTAGGGTTTAGGGTTTAGGGTTTTAGGGTTTTAGGGTTTAGGGTTTAGGGTTTATGGGGTTTGGTTGGGATGTTCCCCCTTATGCAAACAGCTACAGAAGCTCAATTTGTGGTGGTGGTGGAAGGTTCAAGGGTGGCGCTTCAATCACTTTTCATATGTACGTTGACTTTTATATGTTTTTGGTGTTGGTTTTTGATGTCTTAGATAGATAGATAGCTAGATAGATAGAGATATCTATATAGATATATACATATATATATATATATATACATAATAGACATATGTATATATATATATATATACATATATATATACATATATATACATATATATACATATATATACGTGTATATATGATTTTTCTCAAAGAATTGCTTGTTTCGGGTCTCTTTCCTGGGTGGGGGGGGACGCCTTCGTGCCCGCTTGCACGAGCTCGTGGGTTTTGGAACGCTTCGAGCTGTCTGGAGGCGCTCTACAAGGTAACCTTATAAACCCCAAGCCCTATACCCTAAAACCCTAAACCCTAAACCCCAAACCCTAACCCAAGGCTTCAAAATGCACCGGCTCGGCCGGGGGCACAAAAGAAGCAGCCCAAAATGGACCAGACATTCTAGAAGATTCGTGGTAGCTCGTCTCTCAGATCCGAGGTGTCCTCTCGCGATGTCTCTTTGTGTTGAGATTGCCCTGCTGAGCGGTAAAAGGACAACCTTGGAGGCAGAGCCTTCTACCTCGACGGATGAGCTACGAGTGCGAGCATCCGAGGCACTGGGCGTTAAGGGGAGGCTTTGCGGTCCGAGTGGTGCTGACTTGGGTGCATTGGGCTCAGAGACGACCCTGGAGCAGGCGGGCTTCTTGTCATAGTTGGGTAACATTTTACATTTTTAAGGGTACTTAAACCGAATAAGGAATTAACAATCACATTTTTAATGATATCCCCACCATGAACTAGGCTTGAAGGGTGGCGAGACCCTGACCTTGGCTGCAGCGCCTCCCGCCATCGCAGCCAGCGACAAGGTCTTCGCCGTGATTTGGGGTGACGGGTCCGTGCACGTGACAAGCACGACGTCTTTGTCTAGACCGCAGGAACGGAGGCAGATCGTCTGGCCCACCCCAGAAGACCTCCAGAATGTGTACCACATCGGGGCGACACGCATGAACCTTGCTCAGTCCTACGGTAGCTTTGCAGCAATCCATGCTGACGGATCTGTTACCACGTGGGGTGAGGCTGCTTCGGGTGGCAACAGCAGCGAGTGCCGTGTGCAACTGAAGCATGTCGTGCAAGTTCAGGCGACACGGGGGGCCTTCGCTGCAATCTGCATTGACGGATCTGTGGTGACCTGGGGTGATGCTCGCTGTGGTGGAAACAGCAGTGAAGTTCAGGAGCAATTGAGAAATGTGCAGCACATCCAGGCTGCGCGGGAGGCGTTTGCAGCAATCTGTGCCGATGGAACGGTTGTCACATGGGGCGATGCTCGGAGCGGTGGGGATAGCAGCAAGGTCCACGAGCAATTGGAGAACGTCCAGAATGTCCAGGCTACTGCAACAGCATTTGCCGCCATCCGCGCGGACGGATCGGTTGTAACTTGGGGCCATGAGCTTTCTGGTGGCAACAGCAGTGAAGTCCAGGAGCAGCTGACGAATGTTCGACACATTCAGGCTGCAAACGGGGCATTTGCAGCAATTCGTACCGACGGAACTGTTGTAACCTGGGGTGATGCCCGCCGCGGTGGTGATAGCAGCGAGGTTCGTGAGCATTTGGAGAACGTGCAGCATATTCAGGCCACACAAGACGCCTTTGCAGCTATCCGTCTGGATAGAAGCGTCGTTACCTGGGGCAATCCTCGGGGTGGTGGCAATTGCAGTCAGGTCCGCGATCAATTGGAGGATGTGCTTTGTATTCAGGCCACACATGATGCGTTTGCGGCGATTCGCATGGACGGATCAGTTGTAACCTGGGGCAATGGTTCTACTGGTGGGAACAGCAGCAAGGTGTGCGAACAGTTGAAGAATGTCCAGCAAATCCAGGCGACGCAAGTTGCTTTTGCCGCAATCATCATCGACGGCTCAGTGGTGACCTGGGGCAATGCTCGGTGTGGTGGCAACAGCGAGGAGGTACAATTGCAGCTGAAGAACGTGCAGCACATTCAGTCAACAATGAGTAAGTTTGCGGCCATTTGCACTGACGGCTCTCTTGTGACATGGGGCGTAGATTTGCCTATCATTTGGTGCTGATCATGACAGTGACATTGTTTGCTGCTCTGTGCTGCTGAAGGTGCAGCTCGGGTCTGTATTGCATACGCAGGGCCTGTATTGAAGGCAATGTCTAGCAGAAGCGTAAGGCGAGTGCCAGGTCTCGAAACCTTAAACCTGAAGAAAGGGACCCAAACCCCCAAACCCTAAGCCTGCGTGGCAACAAAAAGCTCAAACCCCAAGCCTCGGCAACCCAACCTTGAACCATACGCTCTACAGCCCAACGCCCCCGAAGAATCTCGGAGCCCTTCAACTCTCGAAGCCTGAACCTCCCAAACCCTCAATCCTGAACCCTCAGGTGGGGCCTGAACCCTAAACCCTAAACCCTAAACCCTAAACCCTAAACCCTAAACCCTAAACCCTAAACCCTAAACCCTAAACCCTAAACCCTAAACCCTAAACCCTGGCCCTAGACCCTAGACCCTAGACCCTAGACCCTAAACCCTAAACCCTAAACCCTCAAACCCAGAGCGCCTAAACAGCTTACAAAACCCTCAGCCCAAGCTTTGTGGGCCCAGGGCTGACAGGTTCTCAGAACTCGGTTTAGGTTGGAAGCCTGCTGCAAACAAAGGGGGCAGAAGTTTGTGGATTGCAGGCTCAGAAGTGCTTAGGGGTGTTGAGGTGTCCCTTACCAAATGGGGTCTATAAGGGGTCCCTTTTACGGGCCGATACTCAGGAACCATGGAACTACTTGGAGGTTCACTTGGAGGTTCACTTGGAGGTTCATGGTACTTCTACCCACATTATGACTGTACTTTACAGCCCACTTATAAGCCCCTTAAGTGCCCTAATGTGGTTGAAATTGGGTTAACTATGAGGACAGGTATACCGTAATTGGGTTACTCAGAACTATGAACCTCCAAGAGCCCCAAGACCAAAGGGCCTGTCGCGGGCGTTTAGGAAGCCAGCCTTGGCCAATGGCTAGGCCTAAGCCCTAAACCCTAAAGCCCTAAACCCCTAAACCCTAAACCCTACACCTTAAGCCTAACCCGAAACCTTCGTGGCTCAGGGTTTGTGAGTTTTTGGGTGTTGGGGGTTTTGGGGTGCTGGGGTTCGGTGTTGTGGTGTCCTGGGCTTGCAAAGCTGTGTGGTGTTTCACACTGGCGCCCGACATTCGCGCTTCGGAGATGGTGCTGCAGAAGCTTAAAGCCTTTAACCCTTGAACCCTAAACCCTAAGCCCTACAGACTCGCCCCCCAGGACCGAACACCAAAGTAAAGATGCAAACCCGCAGGCACAGGGCTCGTCGCCGAAGCTGCTTCGGCTTTAGGGCCCTAAACACTACACCCCAAACCCCAAACCCCAAACCCCAAACTCTAAACCCTAAACCCTAAACCCTAAACCCTAATCCCTGAACCCTAAACCTTAAACCCCAAACCACAAACCACAAACCCCAGTGGACCTCTGGCCTCGATGGAGCTCTGCACGGTGCGCGTGCAGCTGCTGTCGGGCGAGGCCTGGGAGCTTAGGGTTTAGGGTTTTGGGGCATAGGAATTAGGGACTTAGGGTTAAAGTAAGGGTTTATGGCAAAAGGGCTTAGGATTTGGGGGGTTTGGGTTTGGGGGTGTTTAGGTTGCAGAAAGAGGGTTTAGGGGTTGAGGGTTGAGACCCTGGCCGGCCAAATGGCCCTGTGGCTTGTCTGCTTGGTGGCAAAACCCCTAAACCCTAAACCCTAAACCCTAAACCCTAAACCCTAAACCCTAAACCCTAAACCCTAAACCCTAAACCCTAAACCCTAAACCCTAAACCCTAAACCCTAAACCCTTTTGCACTAAACACTAAACCCTAAACCCTAAACCCTAAACCCTAAACCCTAAACCCTAAACCCTAAACCCTAAACCCTAAACCCTAAACCCTAAACCCTAAACCCTAAACCCTAAGCAAAAAACCCTAAACCCTAAAACCCCCTGGAGAGCAAGAAGCCCTGAACCTCAAGTATTTGCTGCTGGGAGCACACGAAAACTTGCAGGACATGACAACTTGCAGGCTGGTATGTCGAGCCTTCTAGTTTAGGGTTCGTTATGCCTTATGTTAGGGGATTCAGAGGGAAACTTCTAGGAATTCGAAACCTCGAACCACAACCTTGCAGTAAATGCCAGGTCTGCAGTGAGCGAGAGCTTCCTCGCGCTGAGAGGGTAGCTGCTGTGCCTTGTCTCGTTGAGCGCTTCTAAGAGGGTTCAGGGCACGCTTGACCTGTGTTCGGGTACTTTGTAGCTACCTTTCCTAGCAGGATTCCTCAGAAGGTGATCCTACCTGCCCACATAGTCTGTCCTGCGTGCTCTGTCTTACTGTGCCCGTAAACCCTAAACCCTAAACCCTAAACCCTAAACCCTAAACCCTAAACCCTAAACCCTAAACCCTAAACCCTAAACCCTAAACCCTAAACCCTAAACCCTAAACCCTAAACCCTAAACCACCCGACATCCCTGATTTTCAATCTCTCCTCGAGCCAGCCGTCACTGTGATGCGGGCTTTGCTTGCTCTGAGCACCAAGAAGATGACTGAACCCTAAGCCCTACACCCTACACCCTAAACCCTAAACCCTAAACCCCTAACCCCTAAACCCCTAAACCCTAAACCCTAAACCCTAAACCCTAAACCCTAAACCCTAAACCCTAAACCTAAGCCCTCAGCCCTGGTGG